AAATTTCAGAAAGAGACCTTTTAAGTTTAAACTCCCCTTCTTCTGGAATAATCAATATTAACCATTTGTTTCTAACCTTCCAAATCTTTTTTGATATATGTAGAATTACAATTAAGTGTTTTATGTGAAAGTACAAATGTGCGAGACTAGCTCTTATTTTCTTGTACTATTCTTTTTTTTTTTAAGTCATTTGTACATAGATCATGAATACAATTATGTTCTTGTACTATTCTTTTAGGAAAAATGTTATAGTAAATATTTGCTTCCACAACTGGATTTTTAACTTGCTATCCAGTATAAATGGCTTTTTTTTGCATTCATTTTGAGTATCTTGCCATGTCAGTACATAGGATTCTCCTTTATTACTTATCAGATGCATAACATTTCCTCGCAGCGTGGTTGCTTGGCATTGTTTCCTTATCTGTAAAATGGAGATTATAATCCTCATAGGGTTGTTGTGAGAATTAACTAAATAAAAGCCATGCTTAGAATTATCATTACTTCATCATTATCATTGTTATATCTTGAAATCAGCTTTTACATTAGAAGTCCTTATGTATATTTTACAATAGAGCTTAACAAATGAGTTCTATGGCAGAGAGATAGGTTTTTTTCTGTTTTCTTTTCGCATGTCAGTAGCTTTAGAGCTGTGCTGCCCGAGATAGTAGCCACTAGCCACTTGAAATTGCTTAATCTGGACTCAGTGCCTGTAGTTCAGTGGCTAGGGTGCCAGCCACATACACCAGGGCTGGCAGGTTCGAATCCAGCCCAGGCCTGCCAAACAACAATGACAACTACAACCAAAAGATTAAAAATAAAATAGCCTGGTGTTGTGGATGGGCACCTGTAGTCCCAGCTACTTGAGAAACTGAGACAAAAGAATCTCTTAAGCCCAAGAGTTTGAGATTGCTGTGAGCTGTGATGCCATAGCACTCTACCAAGGGTGACAAAGTAAGACTGTCTTTCAAATAACAATAATAATAATAATAATAATAAAGTAAAATAAAGAAAAACTTAATTGGCTCGGCGCCTGTGGCTCAAGCGGCTAAGGCGCTAGCCACATACACCTAAGGTGGC